CTTCCTCAGTTTTGGCAAGCAAAGTTGTGTCATCTGCATAATAGAAGTTGTTGATGAGTCTTCTTCAGCCCTGATGCCACACTCCTCCTCATAAAGCCCTGCTTCCCAAATTATCTGTTCTGCACACAGATTGAAAAGGTATGGGCACAGGACACATGCCTGATGCACTCCTTTCCTGATTTTGAACCATGCAGTGTTTCCTTGCTCTGTTCTGAGGACTGCTTCCTGACCAATTATAATTTTCACATGAGCATAATCAAGTGTTCTGGAATTCCCAATTCATCTCAAGGTTAGCTCCAATTTATTGCAATACGCATAGTCAAATAAATAGTCAATGAGCCATAGATAGATATTCCTCTGGTACTCTTTGTTTTTTCCCCCAACTTAGTAGTAAGATTTAAATTGATAAGGGTCTCCATTTTGCCCTGGTTAAGTGCTAAACTGCCAACAAAAAGGTCAACAATTCAAGCCATTTAATGGCAAACAGATGTGGTAGTCTGCTTCTATGAAGATTACAGATTTAGCAATCCGATGGGGCAGCATATAGGGCTTCTATGAGTCAGAATTTACTTGATAGCAATGCATCGAGATGGATTTTTAAATATCAATTTATAAATAACTGCTCAAGGTAATGAAGTAAGAGAAGATTGATACTAATCATGTAAGGAGGAATATTCAGGAACTGTGGCAAGCAGACACTTGAACCATATTCTAGAAGGGAGCGGGCAAGCACCAAAAGTCCGTGTTGGGGAAAAGAGTGGACAGAGAGTGGCCTGGTAGAAGGGAGCGGGCAAGCACCAAAAGTCCGTGTTGGGGGAAAGAGTGGACAGAGAGGGGCCTGGTAATGTACCAAGGAGCCAGCAAGGGCAAACTGATCACCTAACCCTTATTTGTGGAAAGTGTCTCAATAAACATGCCATTTCCTTAGGGTATTTTTTCCAGATTATCAGATAACTACTGTGTAGTGAAACAAAATAGATAACTCAGATAACTCAAGTCTCAGTTGAGGAAACTTTGGTTTGAACTTTTGTGTGAAAAACAATTATTTGTTTGCAAAACACAACACCCCTCTTCTGTATTTTATTTGTTATCCAGAGGGAAAGATGAGGAAATCAATGCATTCTTAGTCTGAAAGTCTGCCTGACAGGAATGAGAAGTCTGACATCTGCTGGAAAAGTGTAGACTCTGCAATGTGTAAAGGGTTCCTCAAACCTCTGCAGTCTGAACCCGCTCAGACCTCACTCTTCAGTGGGTTTTCTGAGCTTGTAAATTGCATTGGTGAGACTGCATAGTTTTCTCCCAAGGAGCAGCAGGTAGATTCGAACCAACAGACATCTGTGGCCTTTGGACTAGCAGCACAACTCCCTACCGACTACACCAGCACAACTCTCTTGCAAAGGGTTAGTGAGATTGATTTTGCTTTACTATAATTTCTTAACTCTAGGTGTTGGCTGGCTAGCTAGCATCTCGATGGCGGTCTTATCTTGATGGCAGTCATGTAAGGGAAATTTCTGGGGTCGTGTGTGTTGTGTATTCTTGTTCTTTTATCCCCCCTCAAAAATTTTAGAATGAATATTCTTTAAAACACACAGCATTATTTGTCTATTTGCTGTACTGAACAACTTGGAGTCGCTGTGATGCTGCACACTGTTCCATAGTTGTGTCAAATACCATAATGGTTACCCATTATGTACAATGTTTGGATGAGCTTCCAGATTGATTCATGTTGAGAAGCAGGGGCGGCATCCACTTCCTAAACTAGATGCCGCTGGAAACTCTACAAACTGTCCTATAAATGCACAGAAATTATGTTAATTATAGAACAGAGTTCAGGTCTTTTGTGCAAAGCTTACTCTGAGTCGTATTTGACTGAACAGCACTTAACCATTGCTAAATGGGACTAATGCTGTTATATCTGGAGGAACACTCTTCCAACTTTGCACATTACTCTTTGTCAATGTGCTGTATGAGATAACCTGGGTTTGCTATGACGCTGAACCTTGTGCCATGGGGATGTTTGGTGGAACTCCCAGTTGTAAAACAGGTTGGGAAGCAGGAGTGGAATCCACTTCCTAAACCACATGCCTCTGGAAACTATAAACTTGGAGAAACAACGATAGCTATGGGAAGGCATTAGATCTTTTGTTCATAAAGTTGCTATGAGTCAACCTCGACTCGACAGCAATCAATAACAACAACAACAACAACATAATTTCTTAAAACTTTTCCCCATCACAAGA